CAGAGCTGCTCTCCAGCAGGTCCGCCCCAAGCCTGTACTGGTGCCTGGGGTTGCTCCTCCCCAGGTGCAGGACCCTGCACTTGCCCTTGTTGAACTTCATTGGGTTCCTCTCTGCCCAACTCTCCAGCCTGTCCAGGTCTGGTGTGAAACTGGTGAGAGGATTCTATTCCCTCTATGCTATAAAACTGCAGGAAGGCATTTTGAGAACAACTAAACCCTGGACTAACAGCCAAGGAGCACAGCTACTGATGAGGATATTGTTACACAGACAGAACTGTATTCACATCACACATAATCCGTCTTCAGTTGATGATAAAGTCTGGTAGGTGAGCAAAGTTGCTAAAGATTAAAAAAAAAAAAATCACTCAACAATTATGCATCATAAAACAAACCTATCTCAAGTAAAGAAATGCTCTCCTGGGTGGACAAGATCTACCCCAGACCTCTCTTGCTACCAAGTGGTGAAGAAAACATGGGCTACTATGTTTCAAGACATAAAATTCAGAGGATACCACCTAAAATTTCATGCACACAAGACCATGTTTATTCTCAGATAAATAACAATCCATGGTTCACTTTAAGACGGTTTTTAAACACTACTGCATCCACTGCTGATTTAGCCACCCATCTTTTATTTAAAGAAGGTGCAGAAGCTAGTCATGGGCCTCTAAAGTGCAAGTTTCCTGATGGGAATGCCAAATTTCATCTTCCACTGCTCTGCACCTGAAAACCAAAAAGAATCTTTGCCTCAAGTTTACTCGGTGCTTGTATTAGCTTTAAACAATGTGTTTAGGGGCTCTTCTGTCTAATCGTGGATCAGGAGGACCTTGGTGTACAAGTCACTGTATAAAGAGAGAACCTCTGGATCTGCCCCGGAGAACGATTCAGTTCCTCTCGTCCTGGCCCGCGGCAACTCACCTGCTGGACGGCAGCCAGGCTGTGAAGCTGGGCGCTGTTAAGCTGCTGCTGGAGCATAAACTGGTGGAAATACTGGGCTGCGTTGGGCTGTCTCTGGAGCGCCTGCAGGGCCTAGAGAAAGAGGAAAATCCAACCATCAAAAATATTGCACCCTTGAAATGTGATTAGAGAGAGAAATGAAGAAATAAGTAACAGCCCTGAGAACGTCCCTAGGCCCCACGATAAAAGCAAAACCACCAGATTAGCACATCAAAATGCAAAGTACAGCTACAGATTTGGTAACGGACCGAATCACAGGTGTATTCCAGAACAGCAGGAAGCACGCTTGCAAGTCTTTAATAAACTCCAAGAATGTGGGGATGTGTGTGCTTAAGCAGGCAGACAAGTGTTCCAGGATAGTGCGTATATGGTGGATACACACTATATAGAGGAACTTTACGGGGTGATAAACTGAATGCCTTGCTCTACAACTGCAGGCTAAAATCAATCTGTTGCATCACAGTATGGATTAAATCTATGAGGCTGGATACTGGAGGCGTAACCTATAAAACATGAAGCACTGTATCAGGCTACTGGAACTCAACATTGGGCCTAGCATAAGAATTTCTAAACCTGAACACGCGACAGTGCTTTGAGCATGCTCCCACCCTGACGCACGACAACTCAGAGGAAGACGACAGGGCTCACCACCACCTTCCACTGACGCACATCCCATGCCAGAACGTAGCCGCGTCTCACCTGTACTGCCTGTCGCTCATAGAGAGACATCTGCGATATCTGAGGACGGGTGCTTCCTCCAGAACCGGAGCTCCCGCTGGCGGAGCTGGAGTTCTGCTCACTTTCGGTCTCCATGGTGACAGGATCCCAGGAGCTCAGGCTCAGACGGACTCCAGATCTGCATTGAGAGAATCGGAAACTAAGTCAGGCTAGAGAGGGAACCAAACCGTGTTTCACTGCATTACACAGCTTTTTTCACTAGAATATCCCAGTACCGGGCTCCTTGCACAGATTGGTTACATCACAGGGGTCGGGGGATGCCAGCAGTCCGAAATCACTACGAAATTATACTCAGTTTAAATCTTTTATTACCGCAGCCAGAAATATAATGTGCACATTCTTGTATTTTTATTGCCACGCTGCAGTTGGAAGCTACAGCATCCCGAATTCTTCAAAAGGCAGCAGAGTGAAATAGCAGCTGCAGCTCGTTCAGACAGCCATTTGGCTACAGACCTGACCACCTCTCCCCTTCAAGGCTCGCGAACTCCAGCAAACTGCATTGCGCTTTCAGTCTCCCACTGCACTTTGGCAACTTCTGGTTCTCTCTTCCTCCAGTCTCACAAGAGGTGTAATTATTCCACAACTCCGCAGCCCTGCTGCAGATATACCAACGCGGTCCCTCCTTCTCCCAGTTTAGCCCTCAGCTGTTTCTTTCTTTCCCTGATCACCCGGACTTCCAGCGACTTGTTCCTGACAGGTCGTAGCTTGAACGTCAGACTGGAAGCTGGTATCTGCAGCAGTGAGCTGCTCTCAGGAGGAACGGAGTCAGAAGCAGCGTGGATGAAGGGCTTGCTGGCAACGGCTGTGAGGGGAAAGCTGCTGAAGGGGACACGCAGAGCCAGGGAGGTCTTCCAGCAGCAGAAAGATGAGGTGCAGCCAACTGCAGGACTGAGAAAGGACTGGAGAAGGCTTTCACCAGCCAAGATGAAGAGAAGCAAGACTGAAGAGAGTGCTTAGCAGAAGAGTAACACATTGGGGTGATCAGGGAGTTTTCTGCAGCAAGAAACATGGGCTGCACAGGGAGCAACGGGAGAAGCGATCAGAGTGAGAAAAGGGAAAGTGCAAAAGTGATTATTCAACAGAATTCCACTGAAAAAAATTTAACTTTTTAGAAGGGTATCATTCCATGTGAGATAAAAAAAGAAGCAGCTTCAGATAGTCTCAGTATCACTGACAGCCTGTTTGTTTCCAAAACATCAGCTGGCTCCCCTACAGCCTACCTGAGAGACTTCTGAACGAGACCTTGAGGCTTCCAGGATCCCACAGCACCCGCGCAGCCCCTGTACCTCAGACCTTTTCAAACCCAGAGATTTCAAGCTTCACAGCCTTCGCCAAACACGACTTTCTCCGGGTGCGTAAACAAACAGACCAGCGCAGCAGAAAAGGAGGTGCAACAACAGTCTCGAGCGGACAGAATCACAGAATCACAGCATGTTCGGGGTTGGAAGTGACCTCTATGGGTCATCCAGTCCAACCCCCTGCTGAAGCAGGGTCACCTACAGCAGGCTGCACAGGACCTTGTCCAGGCGGGGACAACTTTTTAAGTTCTGGGATGGTGTTAAGGGCAGCGTGTGACTTTAAAGTAGGGCAACAGCATTAACACTGCAAAGGATGGCTGGCTAAACCAGGGAACTGCTGCTCCAAACCCGCTCCTCGAAACCTGGAAAACTCTACAATTGACAAGCAGATGGCCGCTGCTCCGGTCCCAGCTTCCCCACGCATCTTTTACCTCAAGTCCTGCCCAGGCATCTCCCTGCTCATCCAGCACTGGCTCCAGGCACTGCTTCGGCAGTGGCTGTCGTAATTCTGCCCTGCAGTCACCTCCTCAGCTGGGACACGCACCCTCCTAACCGACCGATTCCGTCTTCAGGCACAACTCGGTTACAGCTAGAAACAGTCGGTCGATACGACCGTCTGCAGCGTAAAAGCTCTGGGGAAGACAACTGCCTTAAAGATCTTCCCCAGGGGGCAGCACCACAAAAAAAGCAAACGAAGCCCGAAAATAAATACATCAAGAAGGGAGAGAATACAGACTTTTTGAAAGAAAGAAGCTGTGGTAGACAAATGAAGGGCTTCGAATGGGGTTAAAACACAAGTCAGAGTGAAACTACACACATTACACCAAGTTATCCGGTAGCTCAGCTACCGTTAGGAGACAACCTCCGTTCTCTCGCGTGCAGGTTGCTCCCAGCATTGACCTCGCTTCTGGTGCTCACTAGATCAACTCATCAGCTTCGCAGAAAAGCTGCCCTAAACATCATCTTCGGCCAGATCGGGGAGTTGAATCGGCTCACTCCTGATGCCACAAGTGTCAGTGAGAGACAAAAGTAGGCAAGGTCCAGCTTAGCTCATGCCCATACCCTCAACAGCTGCATCAGAAGGAGAAACCTGACTTCTGCCTTGGTGCTCTGCTCCACCAACCTGCGTCTCCTCAGTGAACAGCACCAGTGACTCTTAAGAGTTCCAGCATTTCTGAGAGTTCCACATCGAACTAGATCTTCCTCAAATCAGGTCCTAGCACAAGCAGAAT